AGCCAGGTGACTTACTTGTTTTCGTTTCCAGTCCCACAGCGACATTCTCACTTGTCTACTTAATACTTCGATACCTTGGGAACAAATTGATGCAATGGATTACGGTGGTCGAAAATATAGTCTAGTTTCTGTAGAMGGCTCTTGTGTAGCAATTCTTCGTGGCCCAGGGAAAATTTATACGTCTGTACGTATGTATAATTTTGTTTCTTTACTATCAAATGCGAATTTATTTTAGTTTTTAAACCTCCAATGTTTTTGTAAGACTTAGGCACGTTAATGACACAAGTGCTTACCAGTTCCAGGAAGAGGAATCTTTCGAGCTGACACAATTGAGAATACACGATTTATCTTGACTGGTCGTGGAGAGAGCTACATAACGAGAAACAAATACTAAAGTTTAGAAAAAAATAATAAGCATGAGAAACAGGAGCATTCACAGTATTTAAAAGGCAATGTGTAGCGGCGCCATTTTATTCAACAAAGCATAATGAGAGTTGTAGTCCTCGCACGCACTGGAAAAAATCGCGCGCTTTAACGGTTGTAAATTTGATGTAAATATGATGTAAGTGTCCAAAATGATGTAAATTTGATGTAAATCATTTCCATCAAATTTACATCATTTTGGACACTTACATCATATATACATCAAATTTACAACCTTTATGGCGCGCGATTTTTCCAGTGACGTTTTCATGTCCGCTTTGACATTTTTGGTTTTACTTTGCAAAAAWACAATTGTACCGTTTCTGAAGTGAAAACATGACAAGAGCTTTTAGGGAGTGATTTTTTAGCGGCTATAAAAACTGCTAGGACTACTGACTCCCATTAGGCTGTTACAAAATTACGTGGCTGCATATTGACTATCATATAGAGAATTACTTAGAAAAGAAAAATATTAGATTGGAATGGATGAATAGTCGACTTTAGATATTTTGGTTCAGTGACCATGCACAAAAGAATTGCAGACGAGGCTCCGGGGAAATAAAAGAATAAATCAAGATTATCCATTGTTTCCCCGGAGCCTCGTGTGCGTTCTTTTGTACATAGTCATCGAACCAAAATATCTAAAGTTGACTATTGATTGCTCGATTGGTACAATGAATAAATGAAAATATGGGTGGACATTTGAATATATTATTACTACTTCCAATCAATGAACGAATTTAACCTGGGCCAAATCAATAAATCGAGAAATGAGATAAATGAATAATGAGAAATGAAAGATTGAATGAACGAAGGAAAGATGTGCWTACCTGTTTATGTACAGGGTCCCAAACTAAATCTTTGAAGCCCAGATGAGATGGTCTGAGTTTAGGAACAACCCACGARCTAGCATGGAATCGTTCTATGACATTAACGATATAAAATTAGCACTTTTACTTGATTCTCCTATCGGTGGTTTTATTAGCTCACCATCCTTCGCCATCTTKCCAAGTGTTGTAGATCGAAATCCAGATGGCATGGCGCCAAGAGCTTTGAGTACGTCTGTTACACTTGTCTGGCGAGAAGATGAGGGCGTTAAAGAGAATTACAATACAGGGATTCAAAATACGGCAGAAGCAAAACGGCTATTGAAAGTTACAATTGCATTAAAAGCCTTCGACAAAGCTTTTTTAAACCAGCAATAATGACAAAAAAGGAATTAGCGTTTTGTGGGCTTTACAAGCAATATCAAATCAAAAATACTTTAGAATCAAACATATCCAAAATATCGAATAAATAAAGAAAATATCAGCAATAATACCGACATGAAAATATCTATTTACGATTGCGATTGCCATTAATTTGTTACCCCCCARGGATTGGCTAATAGCTACCGATTAATTCCYC